TCATTCATCACATTTCGACCAAATTCACATCGAGCTCCATCAGCGCTTCGAACAATGACTTTTGGCCAGGTATAGTCATTTGGTAGCTGCTTTACGAGCTAAATTAATTTTTTTGGTTCCAGTTGACCCGACTCCAAGTTATAACGCCAATTTTTCAGCATGGCACAAGTCAGAATGCCGTGCAACAAATATTTCTGCATTTATTTCATTGTTTGTTTCAAATGAAACCTTTTCTTCCAGCTACACTTCTCGAACAGACCAATTTTTTAGACGGAATTTACCAAGCTCAACGACGTCATACGTTCCGATCAAAACAGTGAATCCTCATGACTTTTACAATGTAAGCAATACAGGTTATTGTGACCCATGACGGCTTTCACAATTATGACTTGGTTACGACTTCTACAACGTAAGACAATTGATAATCAGAACGTGCTTATTAAATCATACAGTTATTATGACTAAGAGTATATTCGTCATGCAGGCATTATTTCCATACTTGTCGAATTTGAGCAGACATTATGAATTGTAACCATCTCCTCTGCGCGATGCATCTCGCTCTGTTGATTAGTTCCCCTGGCATCGTACGCGTTACTGGTGAGGTAGCTTGGCGTATCGTAGCTAACCGGCAAGATTTTGCTCGATGCACCTTTAATACACGATGCATTTCAGTTGCTCAAATATCGCAGAGCCACGGCCTGCTAAATTGGTCTCTCCCAGACAGGTGGTTCCAAAATATAAACAAAGCATATGTAACCTTCATCGTACCTTAATATACTTCAGCCAAATTCAAGCGTGGTATAACATCACCACCATATCTGATGACGACAATTTGTCACTATCGAAATCCATACTAAAACTATTATTCTAAGGTTATTGATGAGTATTAGTGGTTGGGTGGTTATTACATAGATTTTGGCATACGATTTCCGCAGCGTCTAACAGATACTGTCAACAGAATTCTGTCTTGGTGGATCAGAGAACCGTATTGCATAATTTTTATCTGAAGTGATTCCATGCCTTAAGTCAGTGGCGTGCTCCTCTCTTCTTCGGTAGTTGCAAAGAATGGAATTTTCTTTTTTCAATTTCAGCGTTTTTGTGACTGCAACCGATACGAACAAAACTTCATCTTAGAGAAGTCATGCGTCGCTTGGCATTCTCCACATGCGAACAATTCACAATATTAAAACGTTTCTTTCCACATTGATCTAGTCAACAATACACTAAGAGACTGTACCATTCGACGGAGTATTCCTGTGCCCTCTTCCTACGAGTTTAATCTTGGCTACCTAATATTCACAGAAATCAAATGGTAATTATCAGTGATTGCTTATCAAATAATTTAGTGATGTCCTAAGTTGTCCTCCATTGTGGATCAGCTATGATTTGGTACCTGAATTGGTTGAACATCCCTAACTGCGCAACGTCTCTGAAGCA